GAGGGAAAGGGGAGAAGGTAAAGAAAGGAGTTGGCTTCGCCGTGCCAAGTGGTGAAGACCCACCAGAGACCCCTTCCCTTGGCCAAGGCCAGCTGGGCGATGTCCTGGTCCCTGGGCGCAGGCTCTGGAGCCCGTTCCTGGTTCGGGCGTGGCGTGCAGAGGCTCAGCCCCGTGTGCCCCAGGCTGTGCCCCCCGCCCGGGCGGGAAAGCCGTGGCAGGGCTGGCAAGCGCCGCCGCAGACCGGCGAGGCTGCGTGGCGAGGACGGCTCCCACAGACACACCTCTTACCCAGCATCCGTCTGCTGCACAGGGGGGCCCGGAAAATTGGGAAGGGGAGAGCGGAGGAGGGACTTGTGGTGATGGGTGGGGGTTTTGGGGTGCCCTCTGGCCGTGTGTCGCCTGGCACGGCCGTCTCAGCCTTGTGCAACAGAGCGTCCCCAACTCGTGCCAGAACCCTGGCCCCAGTGGTTCAGTCGTGCCATGACTCCATCCTGGCCAGCCATCAGCGCGGCAGCCAGCCCTGCTTTCCCAGCTTTTCTTCCCAAAGCTCCTGGTTTGGGTGTCTTTGAAGGTAGAAGTGGGTATGTGCCTTGTGCCTCCACTGTAGCGTGGGTGCTCCTGGTGCCAATGCCTTTAGAGGGCCCCTAAGGCCAAGGGAACGGGGTGGGAATCGCCAGGCAGGAGATGGGGAACAGCTCCTGCTCAGTTCTCCCAAAATAAATCATTCACTGGGAGCCACATTCACTGAGAGGCACAGGGGTGCTGGGGCAGCCACCAGGAGCACACAGAGAGCAGCGGCCATCCCTGGTTAACAGCTTTGCCCCTAATCAGGGATGTCCTTAATGAGTTGGCAGGAGGAGCCAGGAGCTCTCCATGGGCAGGATGGAGTGTGAGGGGGTCACACCGGCCCATCCCATCCTCCTGCCACGCTTCACCCGCTGTCCCTGGGTGGTGGCACATGCCAGCCTGGCCATGTGGCAGCTCCTGGGATGGCAGTGACGCCATCCTGGCGTCCCCTGTGCCCCCGTGGCCCGGTGGCTGTCCCCGGCCTGCCCGTGTCACACGTGCGCCTGCCATTTCCTCAAATAAGCAGCTAATCTCCATCAATCATAATTCCGGGCAATTATCATAATAGGGCCATTTTGCACTTATCCTCGCCACGTGACGCAGGAGCCACTTACGGCTCCACTTCACTCCGAGCTGCTCCTGTCCCCGGGGAGTCCCCATGGCAATCGTGTCCCCTGCAGGCCCCTGGGGACAGGGCCCGGTGCGGCAGTGCCTGCAGCAGCTCGGGGATGCTGGTGCCGGGAGGGATGCAGGCAAGGGGGGATCTCTGAAACACGGAGGGAAAACAGAGGGAGACCCTGCCCTGCCACGGGAGCAGCAGCACAGGGTTAAACCCCGCCCTGGGGACACTCCATCTTCTTTCTGCCACCACAGGGCCCTGGTGGCCCTGGCAGCCCGGCGGTGGTGCCAATGCCACCTGGCTGTGGCGGGGGACAGGGCCAGCAGCCCCTGGTGACCTTGGGCTGCCTGGCGGGGAGCAGCTTAGGGAGGCTGGGAAGTGGTGAGGCAGCAGGGCCTCGGGTGGGGATTAGGGGCCAGCAGATGGATGGAGATCAAACATTTCACTGCCCCTTGTTTACAACACCCTCCAGGGCAGCCACGGGGACCCCGGCACTGCTCTGGCTCTGTCCCTCCTTGGGCTGGGGCAGGATGGGGACAGGGACACGCTTCCATGGGTTTGGGGTGTGCCAGTGGGATGGACAGGCTCCCACCTTGCTGTGCGGCATCCTCACTCCAAGCAGCACCACGGTGGAAGCTGCCAGTGCCCCCATCCCATCCCATCCCATGGATCCCATCCCATCCCATCCCATCCCATCCCATCCCATCCCATCCCATCCCATCCCATCCCATGGATCCCCTCCCATCCCATGGATCCCATCCCATGGATCCCATCCCATCCCACCAGATGAACTCACCATCACCCCGAGCATTCCCACAGCCCCGCAGTGTTTGTGCTGTTTACACCACCCCAGTAATTACTTCCCTTTTTTTTTTTCTTTAATAAATACGGATGTGCCACAAGTAAACTGCAGCGCAATAAAAGCTTTCTGCTGGATCCATAATTAATCACGAGCTGAGCAAGGCGGGGAGGGCAGGCACAAATCCCTCCTGCCGGGGCGGGCTGCGGGCTCACACCCGGCTGGGAGGGACCCGCGGTGGCAGCTCGGGGACAGCGCGGTGCCCTGGGGACCGTGCCAGCAGCCGGGTGTGGGCAGGGCTGTGCTGCACGCGGGTCTCGCTTCCACTCCCAGCTGTGAGGGCACATCTGGACGGAGCCCGCCCGGCCAGGCGGGGGGCAGCCCCTGCCCTCGCTCCCTGCGGTCCCCGGGAGCGCCCCGGGCCGGACGGCGGTGCCCGGGGCTCGGCATCGTCTCCGGGGATGCGGCCGGCTCCAGATGGCCGGTGGCACCAGGTGCCGGGCCGGAGCGGCAGAGGGTGGCTGGGGGTGACATCTGCTGTGTGTGACATCCCGGCCAGCTGGCCCCGCCGCCTGCCAGCGCCGGCGGGAGCACGGCCCTGTCACCCCCGCAGGAGGGGTCCCGGCTGGAGGGGCCGCTCCTGGCTCGTCCTTCGATGTCCCGGCTCTGTCCCCACCCCGTGCACGCTGTCCCTGCCGGTCCCTGCCCCACCACGGGGGTGTTGGCACCAGAGACCCCCCATGGGCACGCACCAAGGGAGGGGGCTCATCCCTGCGGGGCACCGGGGGGCTGGTGACACACGGGGACTGTGGGGAGTGACACTGGCGGTGGCAGGGCCGGGCTGGGTGCTGGGCACACCTGCAGGGAGGTGGCACACCTGCAGGGAGGTGGCACTCGCTGGCACTGGGACCAACCCGGAGCTGCTGGGAGTGTTGGGAGCCTCCTGCAGCAGCCCTGCACGGGGCAGGGGGTGATGGAGGTGTGAATGGGGATGGGAGAACTGGGGAAGGGCTGTGGGATGGAGAACTGGGGAAGGGCTGTGGGATGGGAGAATTGGGGAAGGGCTGTGGGATGGGAGACTTGGGGAAGGGCTGTGGGATGGAGAACTGGGGAAGGGCTGTGGGATGGGAGAATTGGGGAAGGGCTGTGGGATGGAGAACTGGGGAAGGGCTGTGGAGGAACTGGGGAAGGGCTGTGGGATGGAGAAGTGTGCAGTGGGGAGGGAATGGGGACAGGGCCATGCCATGGGGACAGAGCTGTGCCACAGCCGAAGGACACAGAGGATGTGTGCCATGGGGACATTGGAGATGGGGATGCAGTGGGAGGGAGCTGTGCCCTGGGGAGGGAGGAGTGTGATGAGGAGCTGTGGGCTGCTGAGGGTGAGGGGAGGGAGGGGAGTGATGGCCATGGTGCAGCGGGGAGGAGGGGAAAGGGCAGGTATGAGATGGGGATGGAGGTTGTGAACGGGGAGCCATGGAATGAGGAGGGGACCCTGAGAAACAGGGAGGGAGCTGGGCAAGGGCTGTGAGAGGGGAACTGTGCAACGGAGCTGTGCCGTGGGGAGATGTGCCAGGGAGAGATGTGCCATGGAGAGATGTGCCAGGGAGAGATGTGCCAGGGAAAGATGTGCCATGGAGAGATGTGCCAGGGAGAGATGTGCCATGAGCAGGGAGCCAGGCCATGAAGAGCTGTGCCATGGAGAGCCCTGTCACGAGCAGGGAGCCCTGCCACGAGCAGGGAGCCGTGCAGGAGGGTTGGGTGCTCTCCCCAGCGCTGCGATCCCGGCCCCGTTTCCGCTCCCAGCCCCGGCCCCGGTGGAAACACACCTGGGGGTGGGCGGGGGTCAGCCCGGCCGTGCCGCTTCACGGCCCCTGGGCACAGCCAGAGCAGCTCGGCTCTGGTGGGGCATGTGCTGTGTGCCGTGTGCCCTGTGCCATGTGCCGTGTGCTGTGTGCTGTGTGCCCTGTGCTGTGTGCCCTGTGCCATGTGCCCTGTGCTGTGGGCCCTGTGCCCTGTGCCGTGTGCTGTGTGCCATGTGCCATGTGCCGTGTGCCATGTGCCCTGTGCCCTGTGCCATGTGCCCTGTGCTGTGGGCCCTGTGCCCTGTGCCGTGTGCTGTGTGCCATGTGCCATGTGCCGTGTGCCATGTGCCCTGTGCCCTGTGCCATGTGCCCTGTGCTGTGGGCCCTGTGCCCTGTGCCGTGTGCTGTGTGCCATGTGCCATGTGCCGTGTGCCATGTGCCCTGTGCCCTGTGCCATGTGCCCTGTGCTGTGGGCCCTGTGCCCTGTGCCGTGTGCTGTGTGCCATGTGCCATGTGCCGTGTGCCATGTGCCCTGTGCCCTGTGCCATGTGCCCTGTGCTGTGGGCCCTGTGCCCTGTGCCGTGTGCTGTGTGCCATGTGCCATGTGCCGTGTGCCATGTGCCCTGTGCCCTGTGCCATGTGCCCTGTGCTGTGGGCCCTGTGCCCTGTGCCGTGTGCTGTGTGCCATGTGCCATGTGCCGTGTGCCATGTGCCCTGTGCCCTGTGCCACCGCGGGACCTCTGTGTGTCCCCACATGGCTGTGTGACCCCAAGATAGCAGTGTGTGTGTCCCCAGGGTGGCTGTGTGTCCCCACGGTGTCTGTGCGTCTCTGGGATCTCTGTGCCCCGCTGGGATGCCCATGTGTGAATGTTCCCCGAGTCCAGGCCATGCCTGCCCCTTGCCCAAATCCCAAATCCCCAAATTCCCCAGACGAGGCCCATGGCCCCGGGACCCGCAGGGCAGAGCTGGAGCTCCATGACGCCACACCCGCCCGCCATGACATCCGAGGACAGCGGTGACACTCCGGGGGGCTGCAGGCACACTCAGCCCCGCGGAGCCCCGGCCCCGTCCCCCGTGGGCGTTTTGGGGCCAAATCCCCACAAATCAGGCGCGGCGTGGCGGAACATTAGTGCGCGGAACGTTCGAGTCGCGGCGCCGCGTTCCCGCCGGAGCTGTTCGCGGCCGGACCGGTCCCCCGGCGGCAGGTGAGGCCCCGCGGGGCTGCGGGAGGCGGCGGGGCCGGGGGGGCCCCGGGACGGCCCCGGGATGTCCCAAAGCCGGGGCCAGCCGGGGCCTGCTGCCGTCGGCCCGCTGCGCTCGGAGCGGCCCTCCTTCCCCGCGGGAGCCGCTGGCTGCGGGGCCTGCGGCGGGGCCGGCCCCGGTACCGTACTGGGAGGCTCGGCGCCTTCCCTGCTCCGGGATGTGCCGTGAGTAGGCCGCGGGCAGAGAGCTGCAGGGAGGGAATGCGCTCCGGTGTGGGCAGGATAAAGCCCTGTGAGGGTGGGCAGGCCCTGGCACAGGTGCCCAGAGCAGCTGTGGCTGCCCCTGGATCCCTGGCAGTGCCCAAGGCCAGGCTGGACAGGGCTGGGAGCACCTGGGACAGTGGGAGGTGGGACTGGATGGGCTTTAAAGTCCCTTCCAATCCAAACCTTTCCCCGTTTTTTGCTTTGTGAGAAGGGAAGAACAGTCAGCATTTCAGGCATTATTTGATGCCTTTTCTATTCTCTTAGTTACTTTATGATTTTCTAATAAAGTATTTTAGTGATTTTCTAGGAATGCAGTATTATCTCCGTTGTAGAAACAGCCAGGAATCCCTTTGTGTTCCCATGCCTGTAAAGGAGGAAAGGCTGGAATCCTGCAGGTCAGGCTCACCCTACACAGTCACAGCTGGAGCCATGATTATTACATTCTTCCTGTAATAACTCACTTTGGAACAGCTCAGAGTAACTCCAAGGATCATTTTACTCCGTTTTATGTGCTTTGTGCTCAGAAAGTGCAGAGGGAGATGCACAAGGTGTCCAGAGCTGTGCAGTGGGTCAGCTCCCAGTTTGCACTGGTTTTGTTGTGCTGGGAGCTGGGGAGAGCCCTCCAGCTGTTTTGAGATCTTCAGCCTTAGGAGGAGGAGGAGGAGGGCTTGGATTTTCCCTTCCAGGGGGATTTGAACCTTCCTTTCCAAGGCAGCAGAGCCACATCTCTGCCCTGCCCTCACCTTCCCCTGGGATCCAGGGACAAACTTTGTTTCCAGGTGTGCCGTGCTGGAGTTTGTGGCACCAGTGATCCCTGAGCAGCAGGAGGGGATGGCAGACAGCCCCTGGATTTACTCCACATGTCTGCAGCCTGGCCTGGCTGGAGGTGCTGCTTGAATTGCTCCATTAAACACAGACTGCTGGGAACGGGGTTATTTCATTTTTGGAAGGAGCTGGAGGAACAGTGAGAGCTCTGAGAGCATCAGCCACGCTGGTCCTGGCAAAACCAGCTCCCAGTTGGTGCCCCTCATCATGCTCAGGGCATTGACACCTTGCCATGGCCACAGGTTCAGTTCAGGGTGTGAATTAGGTCGGGTTTTTGCATTTCAGGCTCTCCAGAGCAATGCAAAGATGTCACACGAGCTCTGCCTTGAGCTGCTTTGTTTTTTTCCATGCTGGTGGCAAATGTCAGGAGTTCCCACGCTCAGCCCGCTCTGGGGCTGCAGCCTCTCTGCTCCCCCAGATGTTTCCACCCCAAATCACCAGCTTGTTTTGCAGAAGCAGAAATTGAGGTTGATTTGCAAAAGAAAACCTGAGCAGGGCCAGTGTCTGGGTGGGGAAATGCTCCGAAGGTGGAGGGGAGAGACCGCAGGGCTGACGGAAAAGAAACTTGCGCAGCCTGAGCTGGGGCAGCCCTACAGCTCTGCCCTGGGGACCTGCTGGGCTGGATCCCCTTTGTTCCAGCTCCTCCCCGCACTGGGAAGCTGGGCTGGGAGGCTCTTGGAGCTGAGCTGCTCCACTAATAGGCATTTATCAAAAAAAAAAAAAAAAAGGGAAAAGTCAGGTTGTTATTGGCGGCATCAGGGAAGTGTCACGGACGCTCGCGGAGAGTGAGAGCTTGTTATCCTTTGGCTGCTTCCTCTTGTCATGGAACCTCTCTGGGGATGTTTTGGTGCTGATTGGATTCTGTGCAGCAAATCCCTCTCTCTGCTGCCACAGCCCTGTCCTCTCCTCTCTGCTCTCTGTTGCTGTGTGGACAGGGTGCTCCAGGCTGTGCAGAGGGTTTAGGATTTTTCACGGAATCGTGGAATGGCTTGGCTTGGAAAGGACCTTAAAGCCCATCTCATTTCACCCCCTGCCTGCCAGCAGCCTGGGACACTGGAAGGTGTCAGGGGGTGGAACTGGCTGGGCTCTGAGGTCCCTTCCAACCCAAACCATTCTGGGATTCTGTGAAAGCTTGTTCATCATTTAAACTAGCTGGATTTTAAGGGCTGTGCCTCCTGTTACATCGTGGCAGGACCCAGGGATGCTCAGGCTGCCCAGGATGTGGCACTATGAGGCCCGGACATAAATAATACAGTGGATATTATTCAAATGAGGGCTGCCACTTTGCCTGGGTGGGAATAACCCCCTGGGTAATCCCTGCCTCTGCTGATCTGCCATCATTGCTTCTTGCAGAGTCTCTCCAGCGTGGCCGTGCTGGCAGGATGCTGCTCCCCCTGCTCTTCCCCCAGCTGTGCCGGCCCCTCCGCTGCCTCCTGCGGGACCTGTCCCGCTGCACACGGGATGGGAGGAGGGCTGGCTGTCCCCACAGGGCCCTGCACACAGCCTGGGCCACCTGCAGCAGCGACATCACCCCTGTGTTCACCAGGGCCCTGGCTTTTGGGGACAAAGTGGCCATCGTTGACCAGAACGGGGAGCACACGTACAGGGAGCTGCTGAGCCGGAGCCTCCGCCTGTCCCAGGAGATCTGCAGGCTCCTGCAGTGCCCCAGCAGGGACCTGAAGGAAGAGAGGATCTCGTTTCTGTGCCCCAACGATGCCTCCTACGTGGTGGCCCAGTGGGCTTCGTGGATGAGCGGGGCCATAGCGGTGCCCCTGTACAGGAAGCACCCGCTGCCCGAGCTGGAGTACGTGATCCAGGACTCCCAGAGCGCCCTGCTCATCGCCGCCGACGAGTTCCTGGGCAAAATAACCCCCAGTGCCCAGAAAGTGGGAGTCCCTGTGCTGCCACTCCCCAGGCCTGGTGGTGGTGGTGGATCCACGAGCCCTGCAGCCACGGAGGAGGGGCCCTTGCCAAGCTGTTCCTCGTGGAAGGACAGAGGAGCCATGATCATCTACACCAGCGGGACCACGGGGAGGCCCAAGGGTGTCCTCAGCACCCACGAGAACGTGCAGGCTGTGGTGAGTGCTGCTGCCCCCCTGCCAGGCTTGTGCCAAGCTACAAAGTCGTGGAATCTGGAGGGGATTTGGGCTTGCAAACACCTTTCCACTGCCAAATTCCTGCTGAGAGCTGTGGGGCAGCAGCTCTGGAATCCTCCACGCGTGGAAGGTGAGCACACAGCAGTGTGTGAGGCTCTCAGCCTTGGCCTGTTCGTGCTGCAGCTGCATCCTGAGGCAGTTGGATTCTCCTCCCTGCTTTCCTGGAAAGCAGAATGGATGAGACCTGTTGTAAAAAAACTGATTCTTTGCAGTTTGCTTTTCTGCCCTCTGACTAGGGGAGAATCTTTGCTCCTAATTGGAAAATATCTTAGCCCAGCCCAGTGCTGTGTGAAGCCTGTGCATTATTCAGCTCTGTATCCCCAAGGCAAAAAAAATCCATTAGCTCTCAGAGCCAAAAGGAATTAAAAGTTTGAATAAGCCTGCTGACTGCCTCACCACTTGGTTATCAGTGCCTGCAACTGCCAGACTGCTGCCATTAGGGAAGGAGGGCAGGGAGTGCAGGGGTGCCTCGAGAGCTGCTCGGGGTGCTCGGGTCCTGCAGGGTCCCAACAGGAATGAAAGCCTTGATGGATGGAGCCAGGGCTTGGCTATATTGGGCAAAGAATCTGTTCCCTCACAAACATGCTGATTATTTGGGGGGTGGCCTGAGCAGTCCCCATCCTTTGTGCTGTTCTGCAGGAAGCCTAAAAGATGCTTGCTGTCCTGTGGAAGAGGGTTGTGAGAGACACGACCAAATTCCACTGCTCAGATGCTTTTCTTATTTTTAGGTGGCTGGAAATAAGCTTTGCAGTTGCCAGCACTGGGCTCTGAAGGGCATTGTTGACCCAGAAACCTGATAATTATCCCTTCAGATAATTATCCCTTCAGAGCAGAGTGTTTTGGAAGCTTGATGCTCTCATAATTTTTACTAACATGAAACCTGCTTTCTGTTTATCAGCAATTTCCTGCTCCTACTGATTATCCCTTACAGGTGCTAAAAGCCTGATGTCATCAGTGTCCTAAGTATGGCAACAGAATTCTGGGAAAATTAGCTTTTTGATTACTATTTCTGCCAAATGTGCATGTGCAGCAGTAGATTAATATTTTTGTATGTCCTACTTAAAATCATTGTTGATACTTCTCAGTAACGAGGAAGGGCTTTGCTGATTTTAAGACACATCCTGATAGGATGCTGAAGGTGTTCCTCTTGTGTTCTGTTCTGTTGTGGTGAGAATTTTTCTCCTGCTGATCCTGAAGGGAAGATTTTTGTGCCCAGGCAGGCCTGGCATTCTTGCCAAGGAATTTAGGGCTTGAATACCTCAGGGATACCTCGGGAAAATCTTCCCTCCTGCCCTAAGGCCACGCTGTTTGTTTTCTTCTGCAGACCACGGGGCTGGTTGAGAAGTGGGAGTGGAAGAAGGAGGATGTGATCCTGCATGTGCTGCCTCTGCACCACGTCCACGGGGTGATCAACAAGCTGCTGTGCCCGCTGTGGGTGGGAGCCACGTGCGTCATGTTCCCGGAATTCAGCGCGCACGCGGTGAGCCCAGGGGAGACCCAGCAGCAGCACCCGGGCAGTGCGCTCACAGCAGCTCTGGGAATGAGTTCCTAAGGAATTCCAGCCCCTTTAGGCACTGGCTGTGGGTGGTTCACTGCAAAGGGAGTTGGTTGGGTGCTCAGCCCGGGGTACGTGTGCTCTTCCAGAGGGCGCAGCTCGTGTAAGCGTGGTGTTGGAATGGGAATGCTGCACTGCCCCTCCCAGCCCTGGGCTGGGGTCTGCCTGGGGGTGGGTGGACCCTGCTGTGCCCACTGAGAGTGTTTCCATCCAGAATTGAGGTTGTGGATTTTTTTTTGCTGCCAGGAATGGTGGAAATACTGTTTTTTTTCTTCTGTGTTAGTGGTGTGCTGCTTGCTGAATTCTTTAGTGACTTGCATTTCTCAGAATCCCCATAATACTGAGGCTGGAAAAGACCTCCAAGGTCACCAAGTCCACCCTGTGTTCTATTCCTGCTTTGTCACCCAGCCCACAGCACTGAGTGCCAGGTCCTGTCATTCCTTGGACATCTCCAGGGATAGGGGCTCCATCACCTCTCTGGGCAGCCCCTTCCAAATTTTCCCCTTCCAGTCCTACATCCTTAGTGTTTTGTATTGCACTACATGATAGAACACAGCCTTTGGAGTTTTTTGCAGCCCAGGTAAAGGAAACCTGTTTTTCCTCACTTACATGAAAAGATGGCTCTTCCTCTGTGGAGAAACAAGGGTTAAAAGAGCTTGTCAGGTTGGACTCAGTGATGTGAGAGAGAGTTTCCAGATCCAGACTTTCTTGCAGCTTTTAGGAAAAGTGTCAGGAGGGAAACCTTACTGGAATGATGCTGTTAAAATGTTGTTTTCTATCTGAGCCAGGAAACACCAGTGCCAGTGTTCTGCTTCTCCTTTGTTCCCTGCGGCAGTGGCACACCATGGGGAGGAGGGGAAGGGACAGGCAGCAGTAAAGGTGGAACAGCTTCTACATTTCCCAGCCCCTAGGATGGAGAACTGTCCATCCACATCTCCCAGTGTCCTGGGTGGTGTCTGCAGTGTCACTGTTAAGGGACAGCTGGATTTTCAGGTGCTGCTGCTGCTCAGAGCAGAAAGGAAACAGAGGTGTGTTGTCACTGCAGAGCTCCCTGGGAAACCAGAGGAGCCTGTGCTGGGTAACTGCCCAGGCTGCTCTCCCTGGCTGTGCTTACCCACGTGCTGGGAAGGCTTGTCCCATGGGAAGGACAAAGTGCACAGGTGTGGGATACACCTGGAAGCTCTGGCTGTGCTGCCAGGTGAGGGCGGGCCCAGCTCTGACCGGAGCGACCGCAGGGTTGGGTGATTCTTCATGGCTCATTTCTGCTTCTCAAAGCAGCAGCCACAGAAAATGCACACTTCCCTTTTGTGTCAGGGGGCTCTGACACCTGAGCACTGATCCTTTTTGGGGGGACAGCCCCGGAATCTCAGCAGGGCAGCTCTGAATTTCCAGAGTAAATAGGGAGGATGCTGTGGTAGAAGGCAGGAAGGTCCCTGGCTGCCATAGCTTGTGCTTTCACCCCAGTGATTGCTGCCAAATTGTCCTCCCCGCCGTTAGGGTGACCCCAGAGGCTCGGGGTGCAGCAGGGCTGTGCTGGAGCGGCGCTGGAGGTGCCGCTGAGAGGCTGGAGCAGAGCCTCTGGAGGGCGCGGTGCTCCACGTCCTGCGCCACCGGTGATTGATGCTCCCTCGCACCCTTGCGTTTTCCTCTGCTCTCTGCCCACATCTGCGAATCAATGAGCTGACGTTGAGGGATGGGATGGGGATCGGGGGAGCGGGACCCCCCTCCTGCCTGCTCTGATCAAAGCTCTCCCCAGATGTGACACCGGGGACAGCGCCGGGAGCGGCCGCTTGACCCTGGAGCTGAACTTGGGCGCGGCGGGCGCCGGGCGGGGCTCTGGGGTGCGCGGGGGTCTGGAGGACGGCATTTCCTTCTCTGGTTTCTTTTATTCCCGTTATTTTTCCGAGGGCCTCCCGTGGGAGCTGCGAGTGGTTTGATCGACACTCCAAAGCGAGCACGGGAGGGTAAATAAGGCTTTCTCCTGGAGTTTATTGCAAGCTGCCTTTCAGTTCCACTCTATTTTCACCAGCTGTTTACAAAGTGCCCTTTGCTACTGCAATCAGCTTGCAGCAAAGCAGCAGTGGAGGATTTTGCCAAAGGAGCCCGAGTTTTGCTGTGTGCTTTTTTTCCTTGGCTGCACCTTGAGAAAGCAGCCAATTATAGTGTGATATAAAGAAACTCGACTGGCAGCTAAAACACTTGACAGGCTGATCAAAACAAGGCGAGGAACTTACTCTCAACCTGCTGCAGACATATTTAGCCTTGAGTGATACTGGCAAAGGTTCAAGAGAAACCGCAGCAGCACGCCCGATGTGTGTTTGGTTTCTAATCACTAACACTTCATTATACAAAATAAATACTTTATTATTACAGTGTTTATTAAATTACATAATTTGCGGCGTGCCTTATAGTCGTGGATACAGATGGCAGTCTGGTTTTGGTGGTGGGAATAATGCTCTTTTTTTTTTTTTTTTTTTTTTTTTTCCATGAGAAGACATTCCCAGCCCCAGACCACAGCTTGCTTGTCATTCCCCGCCGTGCAGGGGTAGGAGGTGGCAGCTTTCAGACCTTTACGTCTGTTTTTGGGAGCTGTCCAAGGAAAGGTTAAAAATCAGGACTGTGGAGTAGCCCTGGTGTCCTGACCAACATCCTGCTTCTCACTAAAACAGCATCTGATGTCTGTGGCTACTGCTGAGGCCACGACAACTCATTAAAGTGTGCTGAGGTGCCTCAAGCGTGAAAGTTGCTGCATAAAATCAGATTCTTTTTATTAAATGAGGACATCCATTACGCTGCACTAGCTACTGTACATGTTATAATTCACTTTATAGCACCATCTGTTAAGACTGTCTTGCTTAAGCTTTTTGTAGCATTTTTTTATTGCAAGTTATTAAAAAATATGGCTGCATCTATTAATCATTTATTAATAAAGGGGTTATAAATGGACCCTTGGTTTCCAGAATTAGTCGACTCGTACGTGATGTACTGAGTGCTCTGGTGCTCGTGCTCCTCGGGGTGCAGTGTCTCCACTGGGAGCCCCTGGGAGCACATCCAGTGCTCCTGTCTGTGCTTCTGGGCTTGGGATTGGCAGGGATGGCTGTGAGGGAGACTTCAGCACAGGTGGGTGGGGAGCAGGCAGGAGAGGCCGCGGGATGTTCTGCCAGCAGCTGCGTGGGGCATGGCTGGCTGTGATGTTACTGGTTTGTTGTTTCATTGGTTTTCAAGGGTGAGAAGTGCGAGGGCAGAAACCTCTGGAGCCAGAGCAAGCTGCAGCCTCAGCATCCCTGTGTGATCCTCCCTCCATATCCTGCTCCCAGGCTGGCTGAGTTTACTCTTCCAGCTGTACTGTTACTGTTTGTGTTTCTCAGCTGCTGCTGACCTGTCCCAGATGCTGCAGTAGGAATTTCTTGTCCAGGAGTAGGGATTTTAAAGATGCTGTGTTTGTACAAATTTTGTGCACTTTGGTGATAGAGGTGAAGAGGTGAATGTCTGTTAAGGAAGGAGTGCAGGGTGAGCCTTCTCCTCCTGGCCAAGTGCTTTTGGAAGGCTTTGAGCATCAGGGCTTGCACCAAGCACCCTCTGGAGCATCCATTCCCAGTCACTGTCTCCCTCCATCTCTCTCCTTGCATCAGTTCAGGCACAGCTTGTGGTGGGACTGTTGCTTCATGGAAATGTCAGTGAGTCTGGAGAGACAGGCCTGGGGAAGCCAAATGTCCCCTGTGCTTGCTGTGACAGTCACACACTGGTGTCCCCATTCCAGACCAGGCACTCCTTGGACAGGACCATTTTGGAGCAAGTGGTGAGGTCACTGTCTGGTTTACAGGATCCTCTGCTGTGGTTTTTGGACAGAGAGGATGCATTTTGGGCTTGAACAACAGGAAGAGCTTGTCTTTGCCTTGGACACCCCTGATCTTGCCTTGAAGGGAAGATGTTCTAATGGCAAAAGGTTCCCTGTCAGCTCTCTGCATTGATAAACACGAGAGCAGATCCTGGGAGTCTTCCAGCCTCTTGTGCAGAGTGGGAAATAAGAGTACTGAAGAACCTGAAGGAAGAAACTTGCTGTGCTGAGTGATGGGAGAAGCTGATGGAAATCTCCACTCCGGGTGACCCAGTTGTGGCGTGTGCTGCCCGCTCGGCTCTGCTGGGCAGGTTTGAGCTGTGATGTGCTGCCTGTGCACTGACAGCCCTGGCTGTGCCCTGCAACCCCTTCCATGATAAATATGCCAAGATGCAGATTTCCTGCCCTGCAGTTCCAGGAGCTGCTGTTTCAGTGCCAGCCTTGCTGTGTGTCTGACTTAAGGTGCTCCGAGGATCAAGCCCTCTAAAAACCATGCCCTGTTTTACAATGTCACACTCAAAGCATCAAAATAATCTTGTTTGGACCCTTCTTTCTAGGGAAATAGGAATGTTGTGTGCCCAAAGGTGGTGTGTGATTCAGAACAAGCTTTTCCTGGTGTTCTGTCCCCCGTGGCACCTTTTCCCCGTGGTAGGAGGGAGCCGCAGACCTGGCACAGGATGAGTGGGAGGTGTTGCTCCAGGGTGCTGCTGCATCATGTGCTCACAGCCCTGAATTCCTGAAGGCCAGGGCTGTATCTGGGAGCAAACTTTGTCCTTGTCACTGGTGTTGTCTGTGTGAGCCAGGCTGGGCTGGGTGCTGGGGCTGTCTACCTTGGCTGGGCTGCACAGGGAGATCCAGGGCTCAGCAGTCGCTGTTGCCTCCGGGAAGGAGAAGCGTGCACTGCGCTGAGCCTCTCCCCTGGATCTGTCACTTCTGCAAACATCACTCTGGGCAGCTCTTTTGGTTTATTTTTAAAAGAAAAGCAAATCCAAGCAGAGGAGCCTGAGCTCCAATATCCAGGCACGCTGGGGATCGCGGCCCCCATCCAGTTTCAGCTGGAGAGAGGCTGAAAGTCTTTTCATCTGTTAATGGGAGGCTTCAGAGGAGTAATTTTATTTCAGACTCAAAGAGGAGTCGGTGGAGGGAGGAGCAGGTCACTAGTGAATGGATTATGTTTGATCACTTCTCACAGACCTGGCTTTAAAAAGTTAGAGGTTTTCTTTCCCATCTCCCCAGATCTGCCGTCTGTCCTCAGCATCTGTTCCCAAGTAATGGCTTTTGATGTGTGTGGGGAAATATAAAAAATGGAACCAGAGCCTGTCATATTTACTTATATTTCCAGGTCCCAGGGAAAGCACTTGCTCCTTTCAGTATGCCTCCAGCATAGGAAGGGTTTAAAAGCTTCAGCCTGGAATGCAGAGGGGCCATCAAACTGTGCTGATGAATAAATGATTAAAACCAGAGTCGCACAGAGCGCAAACAGTTTGGGGTTACAACAAACATGAGACGAAGCCACCGAGGGCCTGATTTCTCTTTGAAGAGAAGAATGTTTCTCTCTCTCTGCATATTGGTCGTGAAGTGTTGGAGGCTCAGTCCCTGGGAGAGAGCAGAGCTCCCCTTGGTGCTCTCCTATCTTATGTGATAAGATCCATAAGATCTCCATCTGCTTTTTTGAGATAATTTGGTGTTGGATGTGTGTGCGTGGTCCTGCAGTCCCTTGGCTGCTGCTGTTGAGTTACAGGAGCTTCCCACCCTTGTGTTTGGCACAGGATCTCACCAAACAAGCAGCTGCTTTGGCCACAGTCCTGTTGCTTCCACAGACATTCCAAAAATCACCGGCATCCCTTTTCCTCGATGGTGCTTCGCACGTGGCAGCAGTCAGTGTTAAACACAGACTCATCTCCCCCAGCAAGAGGGAAGTAAAGGGCTGAGTTAACCTTGCATTAGAGGCATTGTTGTTTTTGAAAAGGTTTGAAAAGATTCAATTACAACTGAAAATGGCACAATAATTTTATAGAAGAGAGGAGCTGTTGTGTCTGTCAATAGAGGCTGCACCGCAGGCTGGCTGTGATCCGTTTGTGGGCTGATGGAAAAATCCATGCTGATATTTGCTTCCTTTACAGCTTGTAGTTCTTCTGACTGGTTTTGAGAATCTTCTATCAGGCAAAATTTTATGTGGTTTAGCACATAACTGGGTTTGCCACTGTTTCTTCTCCTTTTGCATAAGAAAATGCCCAGGTATTGGATTTGGTGTTTCTGGCTGGTTCAGGGCATTGCACATTTCCCCTCTCTAAAGGGAAATGTTGTTGCTTTTTCTCCTCTGTGCTCACATCTCTTCCTTCAGGTGATCTTAGCGGGTCTGAATGCTGGTTGGGAAGGTTGCTCTATGGACTGACCATCCTCACTCACCATCTGCGTGCTGGGAAAAATACGTGGGAAAAATCTCCCAGCTGTGCCTTGCTGTGCTTGTTTTGTACCCACTGGTGTCATTTTCTCCTTTTTTTTTCCCTTTAATGATGGCAAAATCCCACTGGCCAGCTCATGATATGCTTTTGAGCAGTGGGAGGGGAGGAAAATCAGGAATGTCACGCTGACAGGAAGGCTCTTGGGAACATTAGGTCTCCCACTTCTCTGCTGGCACAGGCAGCCCTGACCCAAAGCATTTGCTGCCATTACTGCTGGTGGGAAGTTCTATCCACTCTTGCTTTCTTGCAGTGAGAAACTTTTTGTTTCTAACCCTTGGTTATTTTAAAAGGAATCTTGATCCATCCCTGAGCATATTCCGTGGGAAGGCTGCTGCTGCCCTTCTTTGCAGAGCCTGGCAGCCCTGGCACACAGTGCCATGTTTGCTTCTGGAATCCATGGCTTTTTAAAAGCACTTGGAGGTATCAGTGACCAAAACAAAACAGAAGGCTGGGCTGCCAGTGCCCTGTGCACGGGGAATTAACGTGGTGACAGTGACAGTGGGATTACCCAGGGGATGGATGGTGCTGCTCCAGGCCCGGCGCTGTCGGAGGGTGCCGGGTGCTGCAAGGACAAAGCTGGCGCCTTGCACGGGATTGATTGATTGATTAGTGCCAGGTAACGAGGCTTTCCCAGATCCTTCTCTCAAAGCGTGCAGTTACAGTTAGAAGCCAGGAATAGCTGTTCCAGCTGGCTGGGCAGTGCCAAGCCCTCCGGCCAGCTTGGGCTGTGTGGAGCACTCGGAGCTGCCAGCTTTGTAGCACGGCTTAGTCCTGCTAAAACACATGGGAAGGATCCAGATTTGGCTGAGCAGGAGCAGAGCAGGTGGAGAGGTTTGGCTGTCAGCAGATCACCCCAGCAGCTGGTGGCACAAATCCAAAGGCAGCTGCTTATCCTCAGGAAGGGGCTGTTGCTGGGTGAGCTGGACTGACACGGAAAAGCTGCTCCTGTGGTTGCAGTGCAGGAGGGAGGATTTTGTCTAAGGCAGGAGTTGAGCAGGCACATGGGGACAGGGGATTCTGGGGTGCAAGGGAGACCTGCTCTGTTTAGATGGGTTTGGGGTTTTTCAGATCCAAAGTCACGTGACAAAAACTGCTGAATGGCCAGACTGGAAGTCTGCCTGTGCTCCCACAGCTGCTCGGGACTTGGGAAGGCAAAACAAAATCACACAGCAAGGATTGAACAACCCCTGAGCATCTGTTTCCCTTCAATCCCCTCGGCACTGTCCTGGTCCCTGCTTGCCATCACACGTCCCTCCCTGCCCACAGCAATGGCTCTGGGGAGCACCAGGCTGAGGAGAGCAGATCCATCCAGCCCTGGCTCTGGAGAGGTCCTTCTCCACCCTGCTGCCTAGAATGGGAAAGATACTGGGGAAAAAGGGGGCTAGGAAATGATGCCTTGGGTTTTAGCTTTTATGTTTTTCAGGTTCTTTGCTGCATGGTAGGTAACTCTGAAACTTCATATTAGGTTTAATAGGTTTTCTTCACAGGGTGGTTGGACAAAACAATCCCTTCCCAGCTGGAGAATCAAGGACAACCTTTCCCAAAAAGCACACACAACAGTGAAGGGAAGGGGGCAAGCCAGGGGGCTGAGACTTCATGAGCTGGAGCTGTAATTGGACAATTGAACCCAATATGTAGATGAACCAAAACTTACAAAAGTGTAAAAACTTGTGATTGGGATGCATCTTGGATTCAACCTGGCTATAGCCCTGGCCAGGCTCTTGTGCTGCCCAAGGTGTGTCCTTTTAAGGCCTTCCAGTGAATACTTATTGTGTCCATTTAGCTCTGTCTGATCTCTGTTCCAGACCAGCCTCCCAAGACATCAGTTCAAACACGGGGGAGGTTAGACCCCTGTAAATGCAATTTTACCTAATCTGGCTGGTAGGGATCTTGCTGGTAGGTGGGTTTCTGCAGGGCCTGAAATGTTCCCTCTCTGGACATACCACCCATCAGTGCAGGAAGTCACATCCCAGTTCTGCTTTCCTTTCCCAGGGCATCTTGCAGTGCTCGTGTCCCACCTGCCAGGGTGTGCAGTGGCTTTGCACCTTGTGCATTCATCTCTCCCCAGCGAGGGCCGTGCCTGGGCTGGGAGACAGGACAGTGCCTCTGTGTCCTGCTCTGTTAACCACAACCACCCGGTGCTGGGAGGGTTTTTTTAGGAGCTGATTGTTCTGGAGCAGCGGAGTGCAAGATGCGGGGGGAGGCGGCGCCGGCGCAGCCAAGGAGAAAGGGATGAAATGGAGCCGAGCGAGCAGAACGGAGGGAAGGGGCAGAGTGACAGCATGAAGGAGAATCCCTGGCTCACCTTCAATCAATCCCTGCCTGGCCTCGCTCGTGTGCAGCTGAGCGTGCGCGGGGAGCGCCGAGGCAGCGCTCGGTGTCAGGAGCTGTTAGGGAACACATTTGTCACCGGCAGGGCAGGGAGCGCAGCGCGGGGACAGAGGCGCCGTCAGGGGTTCTGAGTTATTGATGGCTTTGCCTCGCTCCTGCCTTGGGAAGAGCTCACCTGGCAGGGAGGGTGCTGAGGTGTGAGAAGAATGGCTCAGGTGTGACAGTTGTGCCTCTGGCCCGTGGTTGGCTGCGCATCCCTGAGGTGTCGTTGTCCACATCCCAGCAGAGCTGGCTGCTGGAATTTGCCCCCATTCGTAGTTCCCACAGGTCAGCAGGAGCTGCAGCTGAACATTATTCCCACAGGGAACATTCCTCTCAGGAAGAGTGTGGTTGGGGTAGTGGCCCTCCTGAAAAGCTGGTCTCCTGCTGCCCCTGCTGTACCTGTGCATTCTGATGGCTCCTCTGGGCTCGCCAGGGACACAGCTCTCTGTACCTCACCATTTTCATGAAGTCTCACTTCCATGCCTGATCTCCCTCTTCCCAGCTTTGCCTCAGAGGTTGAAGTCCATGGGCTCCAAGCTGTGTATTGTGTGTCAGGTGTGGGCTGTGTCTTTGCAAAAAGAGCTCCCATGCTTTGGAAAATGGGTGGCTTTGTGCAGCCTTTGAAGAGCTGTGCATGATAAGGGAATGAGCTGATTCTGCCACAGGCTTCCATCTTTGTGAGCAAATTCTTGGCTGCAGCGTGACAGGACAAACAAATGCCATTTCCATCACCTCCTGAGTGATGGTGGGTGGGGGATCCACTGCTGGGACAGGAGGTGAATGTTGTGCCTTGGGAAATAAGGGTGTGATGAAAGTTGGGAGCTTGTTTTGGACAGCGATGGGGGCACACAGCAGCTTCCAGCTGTACTCCCAAGAAATCTTAGATAGCACAGGTGTATTTTCATCCATGTGTGCTCCCTTCCTTCCTAGGTGTGGAAGAAGCTCCTGAGCTCCCAAGCTCCCCGAGTCAATGTGTTCATGGCAGTGCCCACCATCTATGCCAAGCTGATGGAATATTACGACGAGCATTTCACCCAGCCCCAGGTGCAGGACTTCGTGCGTGCCTTTTGCCAGGAGAACATCAGGTGGGTGAGCTGTGGGCAGGGGCTGCTGCTGGCTCGCTGGGTGCCCCAGGTTTTCCTTTCAACATCACCTCTTTCAGTGCTGGTTGTTGTGCTTTGGTGTCTCTGTGACAGGAACAAGGGTGACATTATTTAATTATGAGCCACTCTTGCATGGGAAAGCCAGAAGGGGCTTGTTGTGTGTCACCCTGTGTAACACATGGCTGAGGGCTTTGTCCTGCAGCCCAGGCTTGTACTCTAGAATCTCTTTGAAGAGGCTGTCCTGGTTAACTTAAACCCCATATAAGGCTGAGAATTTGAGGGACATCTTTGGTCGTGGTTAAAAGGATTTTGGGGCTGCAGGTCTTATGCAGAGCTTTTTGTGCCCCCGTATCAGGCTGCAAATTCCCTGGAGCAAAGGTGCTCTTGGATACTCCCTTACCTGGGCTTTTCCTGTGCAGGTTAATGGTGTCAGGCTCAGCAGCCCTGCCTGTGCCTGTCCTGGAGAAGTGGAAGAGCATCACGGGGCACACCTTGCTGGAGAGGTACGGGATGACTGAGATTGGGATGGCGCTTTCTAACCCTTTGCATGGAGCCCGTGTCCCAGGTAGGAGTCTGCAGGGGCTGCCCCCCTTTGGAGGCGTTTGCTGGGAGTGCTCTGGGGTGTTCTCTACACAAGAGTGAGGAGAGGCCACGCTAGGAACAAGGGTGCTGGGAATTGGCACTGGGGATTCAGGGCATGGATGTGTGGGAAGTGGTTGCTGGGTTTCCCAGGGATCATAGTTGTGTGTGCAGAGCTGGCAGTGGTGCCCACTGGCCTGACCAGGCTGGCACACTCCAGACTGATGCTCTATTACTTCCAAAATCTTAGTGAATTGAGGGAATGTTTCTTCAGCTCCTGCTGCCTGGAGTTGTATTTCTGGGTGGTGTCACACAGGATTCTCCACACAGCAGTGCTTGTCCAACCCATCAGTGCTGAACACTTAAAATAGGACGTCTGCTCACTCTTATTTTAGTGCCTGTTTCTTGCCTCTTCAGGAATTCAAAATTGTCACACCTCGCTGTACACTCTGGGCCTGTTCTCTCCTTGTCTTTCCCCCCCTTCTCTGAGCTACACTTTGTGATTCCTTTCCAGAGCTGTACTTTCTGGAACCTAGAAATAAATTGATCTGAGACATTGCAAATGTAAAATGCCCCCACTCTCCCTGTGGTTGGAGCGTGGCCATCTGTGTGCCCACCCTGTGCCACCTGCCTCCCCACAGGCTGTCTGTGCAGGCATGGCACCATATGCAGCCTCCTGGGGAACTGGTGTTACCCCAGAGGGGGTCCTGGGTGTCACAGCTTCCAACAGCACCCCAATCCCATGGGATGCAGGAGCTGGGTGCTGTAGGGTTGGCACAGGGAGAGGAGAAGCCAAAACTCCCCCTCGTTGACTCCTCAGCCTGGGAACAGCTTGAAGCACAAACTCTGTTTTACTTTTGCAGGGTAACTGTCATTCCCTCACCCCACCTCAGCCAGTTTTATCTTCTCCAGCAGCCCCATCCCTGCAGGCAGGAGAGGGAGGCAGGCAGGAGAAACAAGACTCCCATCTGCAGGAGCTCAAGCTGTGTGTGAGCCCCACACCCCAGGGTGATCATTGCACTGTCCCTGTGGTATATTTGCTTTTTATTGATTTTCATGAGGGAAAAGGAGTGGAGGCTCCAGAAATTTCCCAGGGGACTAAAAGAGAAAAGGAATAAGACTGAAAGTAGCATGGCAGTGCACAAGCTGGCACCCAGAAGGGCAGCTCCTGCCCCAGAGCTGGTGGCTGTGCTCCTGAAGCATCATCCCTGTGGATCCTGGGGTCTGCAGGACAAATCCTCTTGTGCAGCCAAAGGAGAGGGGCTGGGGACTGTCACTCCAGCCCCATCCAGGGGCTCCTGCAGCCCCAAGGGGAGAGAAGTGTCTCACAAAGGTGAGGATCAGCAAGAAACCCTACAGAAAGGAGGCTATAATTGAATAGGCTTGATTAATTTATTTCAGGAAGTGTCAGCTGGGAAGCAGATGGGTGAAGCTGAGGCATAATTTACTGGAGCTGTGAAAAAGCTTTTGATCTAGTGCCCTGTTGGAGGCTGGGTAGGAGGTCACCAGGTACCACAGAGATCCCAGAGGCAGCTGATGGTGGGCTGGGAACAGGGGACATCTGCCAGAGGATCTCTCCTGGAGTGGGAGCAGCACATGTCCTTCTCCCCTGCTTTGACCTGTTGGAGTGAGCCCAGAGGAGGGATGGAGCACCTCTGCTGAGAGAATTGGGATTGTTCAGCCTGGAGAAGAGAGGGCTTTGGGGTGACCTAATTGTGGCTTTCCAGTTCCTGAAAGGACCTACAAGGAAGATGGAGTGGGACTTTGGACAAGGGCCTGGAGTGACAAGACAAGGGGGAATGGCTTCACAATTAACTTTAGATTAGGTATTAGTAAGAAATTCTTGGCTGTGAGGGTGGTGAGGCCCTTCTCTGGGTGCCCAGAGCAACTGTGGCTGCCCCTGGATCCCTGTCAGTGCCCAAGGCCAGGCTGGACAGGGCTGGGAGCAGCCTGGGACAGTGGGAGGTGTCCCTGCCCATGGCAGGGGGTGGAATGAAATAAGCTTTAAGGTCCCTTCCAAACCATTCTGTGATTCATGAGCCTCTGAGGAGAAATCCTGGGGCTTGCCTTGCCCTCTTGCAGGCACTTGGTGTGGCAGGGAAAGGTCGAATCCTTGGACCCTGCCCATCCCACCCTTGTCCCCAGCGCTGTCACCAGCAGCGTGTCCCCACTCTCCACCCACAGCACAGGTCTGAAGGGGCAGGGATGGGGTGTGGGAGCTTTAATTTCCAGAAGCAGCAAAGATGAAAGATTTGAAAGATAAATGTTTGCTTGTATATGGTTAAAACCCTGCTTAAAATGCCTCTGTTTTCACCAGCTCTCATTCTAATCCCCCCTGGTGCTGTTACTGTGAAGGGAGATGAATAATTCATGGCCGGAGAATGCCTCACTGGGCCTAATCACCACTTTAATTGGAGGTTTAGATCAGAGGCAGCTAATAGCTGCTACAGCGGGGACTCCGTGTATTGTTGACAGTGAGATCCTTGAGTGCCTTATCGTTGGCCTGCTCCAATCCTCCCGGGACACAGCAGCACCGAGCTACCCAGATACCGAAGGACACAGAGCACGGGGCCAATTAAATTTATCTGGGAAGAGCTGACAACTTTTTTAAACAGAGGAGAAGGGGTGAAAGCAGAATGGTGTCACCCCCTCCTGCCTGCAGCCCGGTGACACCGCGGGCGAGGTGCCAGCATTGCTTAACATCCAGGAGGCTGCAAATTGGAGGGATGCAGAGGGGAAGCAGCAGAGATTTCTCCCCAGTTTCCCCTCAGGATTATGTCTGGGGAAAAAAGAGGAAGCCAGTGCAGAGTGTTGACCCCTTCTGATCACCCCAAGTGTGGCTTGATGAAGGCAGGAGCTCCAGGGCTGCTCCTTTGGGAACGGGCCCAAATTTCTGCTGACCTGTTGGAGTTGGCACAGAGTATGTTTTGACACGGTGGATGGGCCTGGGAAGCTCTAGTCATTTTTTTTTGCACAAATTCTATTAATCCTGTCAGGTTTGTGGAGCTCTAATCAATGGTAGGGGCTTTTTCAGCCTTTACAGATGTTGATTTCAAAGTTTGTCACTTTTCCTAAATACCAGAAAAGCTTCTCCAGACAGAAACATAAGGAAGCAGCTCTCCACCAGGGACTTGTTTTACATGCTGGTTTTATTTTAGCCAAGTAGGAGAGGAACTGGTGGGGCTGTGTTAGTAACTGTGATCTGAGCACTGTGTGGGGAACATGTCACCTCCTCTGTGCCAGCCCTGGGCTGATCTTTGGTGTCTCATTCCCAAGGGCTGGGACCAGCAGTGGGCACTAATCCTGGAGTCCTGCTGCCCATGAATCACTGCCCATTTCCACATTGAGGTCAGCAGCTTGCAGCCAGGGAAGGAGCATCTTCCAGGAAGGCATCTGGCTGATCTTGATTTGAAAAATTCCAAGTCTGTGAGAGCCCCTGGCAGTTCCTTGCATTGGTTTCTGCTCTCTCCATGAGCTTTCCAGGACTGACTTTGTGGTGCCTGCCCACACAGACGTGCCATGTTTTGTGGGCAGATTGGAGTCTGTTCACACACAGTTTTTCACCCTGGAGAAACTGTTCCCACAGAAGTCTAGAAGGTGGCTCCAGCAACCTTCCATGCAACACTGAGGGTGTTTTCTGTGACTTGTTACTTGCTTTGAGGCCTCTTGGAGCCTCCCATGGCAGGTGCAAGATTGTTTATAACACATATGGTGTGATTTTTAGGGTTGTCCTGTGCGGAGCCAGGAGCTGGACTTGATGATCCTTGTGGGATCCAACTTCTGTGATTCTCAGATTCCATAAATACCTCAGCACTGTACCTTAGGGCACTTCTGGCTCGTGCTGCCTCCTTGCCCTGCTGCAGCCCTGTGTCTCTGATTCCTGGCAGTGTCTGGCCTGGAGGTGGGAGCAGCCCAGGGTGCTGGTGGTGAGGGGAGGACGTGGCTGTGCTGGCTGACCAGAGTGCCAAAGGCAATTCTGAGCAGAGCAGACACGGATCATGGAGCTGCCACGTCGCTTTGTGTTTATTTCCAGCCAGATTTGCTAATTGTTCGGGTAGTTTTGCTGCAATAAAATCTCACTCCCTCATAGCCCATCTGCTCCTGGCTGATCCTGCAGGGATGCCATAAATCTGGGCTACGACGACATATCCATTTCCATGGCAACTGACCAATGTAGCAGACAAACTCATGATGTCACGGATAGCAGATCTCCAGGGCTTCAGCAGGAGAGTGAGACCAGGACAGGGAAAATGCCACTTGAACCCAATGCCTGAAATACGAACGACAAAAGGAAGACAGGGCTGAGCTCCAGGTCCTGCACTCCCTGCTCTAGGGAATTCCCAGTGTCAGGGTGATCCTGGCAGACCTGGAAAGCATCAGCTGGGGGCACTTCAGGGGAGAAAATTTATCATCCTTTAAAGAGCACAGTTACCAATTTATAGAATCACAGAATGGTTTGATTTGGAAGGGATCCTTCAGCTGATCTTGTTCCATCCTCCTGCCATGGGCAGGGACATCTTCCACTGTCCCAGGCTGCTCCAAGCCCCAGCCTGGCCTTGGACACTCACAGGGATCCAGGGGCAGCCACAGCTGCTCTGGGCACCTGTGCCAGAGCCTCAGCACCCTCACAGAGAAGGATTTCTCCATGATATCCCATCTAACCCTGCCCTCTGGCAGTGTGAAGCCATTCCCCCTTGTCCTGCTACTCCAGGTCCTTGTGAAAAGTCCTTCTCCAGCTGAAACTCTGTCCTGTCCAGTCCTGCTGAGCCACAGATTGCTGTGAGCTGCTGTTCCTCTCACTGCTCACAAGGGATGAAGGTCACAGGCCCCATTCTGTCACAGGAATGAGAGGCTGAGTGAGACCTGCTGAGATCTGCTGCCCATCCCACTGGTCACAGGAACAGAGCTGCCCTCTGCTGAGCTCTCAGCTGCTCCCCAGGAACAACAGGCCCTGAACAGGGGGTGGGAAAGCTGCAGGTTGGGGAGCTCTGGGTCCCAGATGCGGCTTGGAGCTCAGTAGTGGTTGTTGTGACACTGTGTCAGCTCCTTGGCTTTGAAATTGAAACGTGTGGAAGAACCGGGTGGTTTTGATCCCTCCTTTTCTCCTGTGATGTTTTCTATCCAGTGTATTGATGTCTCCTAAAACTGAGATAATCCCTGGCAATTCTCAGCTGTTAAGCCTTTGCCTCCCCTGTCAGGTGCAGGCTGTAGAGGAGCAGAGTAATCTCTGTGCTCTCTCTTTTCACAGCTTTGTGTAGGTTTTGTGGTGCCTTTCTTTTTTTTCTTTAAAGAAGAAAAAAAAAAAAGAAACTGCCTCGTTCCTGAGCTCTGAAGAGGTGCAGATGTCTTCAAAGTGGCCAAGAAACTCTGTTCAGGGCTGGAGACAGGTTTGTGTTCAGAGGCATTCCCAGCACTGCCTGCTCCTGCCATTTCCATGCAGACACACGGTGGGATCACGCCTTCCTGAAGGGACACTCCACACCAGGAAGTCCTTTAGTGCCAGCACGGCCTGCAGATGCCATTGCTAGACAAGCAGCTGCTGTTTGCATCCCTGACTGTGTGCTTTCCCGGGGCTGTGCCCCTTTCCATGCTGCTGTCCCCCAGGTTCCGTGGGCACCCCGCTGCCCGGCGTGGCAGTGCGCATCGCCAGCGAGACGCTAAGGGACGGCGCTCGGTGCTACACCATCCACGCCCAGGGCGATGAGAACTGCACTCAGGTACTGCCTCCTTCTCTCCACTGCTTCACTTTGAAAAGCTCTCCTTCCCAGCCTCTGAAAGGCCAAGGGTTGTGCTGCTCCTGTTCCCAGGATCCAGTGATGGAGTTTGTGGTTCTTTGTTGGTGGGTTCTTGTAGCTGTGGTGCTTTATGGACTGGACAAGTGCTGTCCATGCAATCGTGGAATGGTTTGGGTTGGAAGGGACCTCAAAGCCCATCAGTCCCACTCCGTGCCATGGCAGGGACACCTCCCAATAGCCCAAAGGGCTCCAAGCCCCAGTGTCCAGCCTGGCCTTGGGCACTGCCAGGGATCCAGGGGCAGCCACAGCTGCTCTGGGCACCTGTGCCAGGCCTGCCCATCCTCACAGGCAAGAATTCCTTCCCAATATCCCATCTAAACCTATTCTGTTTCACTCTGAAGACCAGGTCTAGTGGAAGGTCCCTGCCCATGGAACGAGATGAGCTTTAAGGTTCCTCCCAACCCAAACCGTTCCATGATTCTGTGCTTGGAAGGGCAGGACTGGTGATCTTGGGGGTTGCACTCATTTTGAAACAGCACTGGGGGAACCCATCAGGTTTGACTTCCACTTTGATGGAAGTCAAGCTCCATGCTCAGCTCCACATGCTACCTGCACCTGCAGTTCTGGTGTGCCAGAGGTCAGGCATCTGTGATGAGGAACCATAATCTACCCCAGTGCTGGCTGCTGAACCATAATCTACCCTGCTGCTGCTGCAGCCCCAGCCCAACGTCCAGGCTGTCTCTTGCCACAGAAGTGGCTGAGCAGGGTCTGCATTCCTGCCCCCTCCCCTCCACACCCTCACTGTGTGTTGTTGCTGCTCTGGCAGATCCATGCCTGGTGATGTCAGGGTTTGGCTGAGCAGATAAATGCTGAGTGTGACAGGAGTGACCCCAGCAGTGACACCATGTGGGTGGGACACAGACAGGCGTGAGATTCAACCTGAAATAGGTTCCTTCCCTCATTCCCCTGGGAAATGGCTTCTCATCCAGCCACCTACAGGCTGAGGGTTTGAAAGGGCTGTGGCAGAGACACTGCTGGTGTAAGCGCTGCTGAGAGGCTCAAGAAAATCTTTTTTTGTCTAAATTATCTGGTGGCAGGTGGAGGAGCCAGCAGGACCACAGGCAGCCCCGTGGGTGGGCTGTGCTCAGGTTGTGTTTTGTGTTCCGATGCTGTAAGAGCTGGATCCACTCCAGACTTGTAAAACAGCCCAGGGGACAGCTGAGAGGGACCACGGATTGTGGCTTTTATTAAAAAAAAACCTCTTTGCTGCTCTTTACTCTGTGTCGCTGCTGTGGCGTGGCCGAGCAGTGGGCAAAGCAGGAGGCTCCCCATGTCCTGTTCTTGTCACTTCCTGGGTGTGTGTTACATTTCACAGGTTTGTCCTCTGATCCCAGAGTTTGCTCTTGGCCTTTTTTTTTCCACTTGTGTGGAACAGAGACATGAAATATAACGTGTCCCTTTTAATAATGATCCTATAATGCTTTTTTCCCCTTAGGGATCCCTGGGCACTTTACAAATTAGGTCTCAGACATGAGAATCCCCAAAGTGCAGCTCCTTCCAGGATGAAATGTGGATGTTGTTCTACTGAATTATGATAGGAAAAAATATGGAATGTTATTTTTTCTGCACAGTACTCTTTCCCCTTCGTTCTCATTGCACTGAGTGACCAGAGAGGGGGAGCCTAGATGATCTGTGTCTGATGCTAGAAGCCCACCACCTCCTCAGGGCTTCACAGAGCTGGGATTCACATAACTCTCCTCTTTCCTCTGGCTTCGGGCTGCTTGGGTTTATTTTAGGGGCAGAGGAATTGCCCTTTTTCCTGGTGATTTCTCACCTGCACCCTGCAGCCCCCAGTGTGGTCCATACCCAGAGCTCACAATTCTTCCAGGAGCTCCCACCAGCGCTGGCCTTGGCTCCCTGCCCCTTGCTGATGGTTCACTTTCCGTCAGGCTCTCCCTGGGGACCTTTTGAATGTTCTGGTGAATTCTCAAGTCATCAGCCTGGGAGGGTGTGGGGAGGTGGTAATTTGCCTCTGGGCATTGGCTCATGGGTTGGTCCCTCTCTGAAGAGCTGTCCCCATCTCACCCACCATTCCTCTTGTCCCAGCTTAACTGGGAGTTTCTTCAGGCTGAAGGGAGAGCAATGGTGCCATCTGTTCAGGCCACCCCAGGAGACAGTGGCTGGCTGGCTGGGTACCTCCAGGACATCCACAACATTTCCAGGAGCAGAGCAGAGCCAGCTGCCTCTGTCCCTGGGACTGTCACAAGGTGGGAAAAACAGTCCCTGCTCCCAGCGTGTGTTGGCACAGATGGATGCGTGGAGATGCCAGGAGTTTGGGGTTTGTGTGCCCTGGGCACGGAGTGTGACTTTCCCTAGCGTGACCAGGTGGCAGCCATGGTGACAACACCTCTGCTGCCAGGGATGCTGGAATTCCTGTGCCTCACACCTGCGGTCCCAGGCAGAGCCTCACCTGCTCAGTGCCTGCCCCAGCCGTTGCTGCTGGCACTGTGTGCATCATGCTTGGTTAATAATTCATGTCAGGAGAGACAACGTCAGTGGAATTTATTTAAAACGAGGCGGATCTGACAGTCCGAGTGCTCATCACGCTCCAGCAGTCCGGGAAAGGCCCAGCTTTGTTAAAATCAGCTCCTCCACGGCTGAGGGGCTGGCCCAGGGATGGGAACAACCCGCTGGTGTCACCCTGCCTGTGCCACCAGATAACCCTGCGGCCTTTCCCTTGCCTCCTGTGAGAAGGATGAAGAAATCCTTCCTCGCCTTCCTCCCAGGAGGGCTCTGAGCCTTTTAGTGGTTGAGGGCTGGAGGAGACTGAGGGGAGACCTCAGGGGTCTTCAGTGTCCTCGTGAGGGGCAGCAGAAGGGCAGGTACCAATCTCTTTCCTCTGGTGACCAGGGACAGGACCCAGGGATTGGCTGGAGCTGTGCCAGGGAGGTTCAGGGTGGATCTCAGGAAAGGTTCTTCCCCCATAGGGTGCCGGCACTGCCCAGGCTCCCCAGGGAATGGGCACGGCCCCAGAGCTCCAGGAGAGGTTGGACAGTGCTCTCAGGAATGCACAGGATGGGATTGCTGGGGTCTCTGTGCAGGGCCAGGGGTTGGATCCATGATCCTTGTGGGTCCCTTCCAGCTCAGGATATTCCGTGATTCCATGATTCAAGCACCGTGGGGCTGAGGCAGGGGGACGCTGAGCAGCCTGGCAGGAGTTGGGCTCTGAGCCATCTCTCCTCCCCGGGCTCCTGCGAGCAGGTGATGTCTGTGCCGGGGCTGCGGCACCGTCAGGGCAATCTGCGGGGCGTTCACAGCTCGCTGTGCCCGCAGAGCCCTCCCGAGGGCGGGCAGAGAGCGCTGCCCTTGCCAAGGGAGCCATGCGGAGCCTCGCAGGGCCAGCGCCTTCCCCGCCCGCCTGGGGCTGCGTTCCTGCCTCCTGCCCCAGCTCAGCCGGCGCTCTCCGAGCTGCTCCTTCTCCACTAACACCGTCTCTCGCCCTTTGGACATGTGCGATCCAAACAGGAGCAATGGCAGAGGAGGAGGAGGAGGAGGCAGCCTGTGGATGGCAGGAGCAGGGAGCTGGGGAGTGTTCCTGCTCTGCCATCCGGTAACTGCCTGAGCTTGCAGCAGGGGACCACTGTAATTTGCAAAGCTGGTTCCTGGCACACCCTGAAGATCAATAATCTACTTAGCTGAAAGTTTGCTGGATCTCTGTTCTGCCCTGCATTTTCTCCCACCCTTGATTGGAGCGCTGGATTCCTTTCCTTCAGTCTCCTCTCAGGAGCCCTGTGCTCCGTTCATCCCGTTTGCTCAGGATTTCAGCCCGTCCTGTGCTGCTTCCTCTGGGTGTTGTGCACCCTGTGCTGCTCTCCGGGGCTGACACGGAGCCGTGTGGGCTGGGCCAGGCTGCCCGGGCTGCCCCGGGGCTACTGACACCCCCACGGGGCTCTCCAGCCTGACCCATCCCCTGGCTGCTCCAGCCTGACCCATCCCCTCTCTGCTCCATCCTGACCCATCCCCTGGCTGCTCCATCCTGACCCATCCCCTCTCTGCTCCATCCTGACCCATCCCCTCTCTGCTCCATCCTGACCCATCCCCTCTCTGCTCCATCCTGACCCATCCTCTCACTGCTCCATCCTGACCCATCCCTTGGCTGCTCTGGCTGCTCCAGCTGGAGGTGTGCAGCAGCCTGGGGACACCTGTGACAAGCCAGCGAGGGCAGGAGGTGACAGTGCCATCAGTCACAGCCCCGACTGTCCCCCCACCTCCTGCCTGTGCAGAGCTATCCCCTGGAGAGATGTTGCTCCCGGAGCCCTGGGAGAAGGGCTTCTCCTCCAGCATCACTGGGAGCAGAGGTGTGGAAGTGGGTGTGAGGGACAGCACGGCTTTGCTTGCCCTGATTCATCCCACATCCTGCTCCTGGAGCTAGTGGCATCCAGAGCAGCTCCTCAGCTTCCCACCTTCCTTGGGCAGCTGCCTGCTGAGCCCATCTGACCCTTCAGGCTCAGTATTCCTTACCCACAGCCAGGGGTGCTTCTTCCCATGGGGTGTTTTCCCCTGAATTTTTGGCAGCTCTCCCTGTGGCTGTGGTGCCCAGGAAAGGGTTACAGCTCTCCAGCTCTGAACATTTCAGTTTGCTTTGTTCAGTGCAATGCATATTTCATACGCTCAGCTTCCCAGCTGGCAGAGGCCTGGAAACCCTGCAAGCTGTCGGGTATTGTCTCTCTCCTTCTCCACTTGTTTGTTTGTTGGGTTTTTTGGGTTGTCATTTTTGTTGGATTTCTCTTTTTTTTTTTTTTTTTTTTTTTCCTTTTTCATCTTTCCCAAATTGCTCTCTCTCACCAAAGCCCAGCCCTGGTGCTGACAATGGGGAGCTATCAATAGCTAAATGGCTTCACAGCTGCAGCCGAGGCAGGGCTGCAGCCAGGGCTTTTATGGCGAGCAATTTCCTCGTGCCGAGGCTGCGAGGGAGCGTGGGG